AAAAATTATGATATATTAGTGGCAGAAGCTTGCATGAAATATTTTTATGTTAATTATACTATATCTATGATGAGAGGTAAAGTTCAGAAACACATGAAAATAACAAAATGATGAGAACTATTGCAGTTTTAACATAAGAAATGCTTACCAACTTGAACTTAAGCAATTAATAAAACTGAATTTTTATTTGGTATTAATTCCAATAAACAAATTTTTTCAATGCATTTTAAAGGCCTGCATAATCCTTCGCCCTTCTCTATAAGAAGACATATTTAAAATATACTGAGAAAGCTTCGTTATTAAAATTTATGCCAGCTAAAGATTTTATTTTGTCAATAATAGAGAAAATTTCTGTCGGTAAAATAACCTGCCAAATAGCAATCTGAAATTATTAATGTACTTTTGCAATTCTTAATTGAAATTATCAGTTTTATTGGTCAAGTTTAATATTTAACAAAGTGCATGATGTTCTATTATAACAAAAAAATAACTCCATGCCTATGTATGAATTAACGATCGTCAGATCACGAAAAAGCCTAAACAGAGTTTTAAGACGAAGTTTGCATGTGAAAGTGATCATTTTCAGCATGCTTCTTTAACATGTTCACTAAATTTTATTTAATTATATATAGATGAAATTCGCGTAAAACTGCTACGCATGTAACTTCGTAAGGCAATTAACACTTGCTTTTAAAAGCTACGTAAGAGAAATTTTAATAACCCACTGCACATTCTGAAAATCTTAAGACTCACTTTTGATGAATTTACAAGAATTTTGTGCTCATATCGAGACTGTAAGTTATTTTATTTCACAGCTCAAAAATTTCGTGACCACACAGAATTTTGCATTTTCAAATCAAAAATATCCATTAAACTTTAAAGCATTTTAATTTTAAATCAAACTAGGAAACTTTAAAACAGGCACTTGATTCCAGCTTATGACAACTGTACTATTTATTGCTACATTAATTTTGTAGGTTACATAATGTTCGATTAAGTATATAATTCAGCATAATACTCCAAAGTCATGCGCCTAGATAAGAGGTGCCTTAGTGGAAGATTTTCAAGAAAACTTAGCTTCTATTTACAGTTCATACGAAGAAAAGACTAAATTCCTATTGCCGGCGTTTTCTAACAACTATTTAAAGAAAAATCACAAAGAGTTTTTGAATCAAAATTAAGGCCGAATTTTCAAATTATTTCCACATTGCGATCTTGGAAGTTTTACCACGGATGAAGAGAATGTTGTTTTAACAGATCTATTAAGCAGAATTCTAACATCTTCACATAAACAGTATGTTGCTGCGTTTTTTCTTTGGCTCTGCCAAAGAGCTGGGTGTGTGATGGAATGTCGTCCTGTCAAATGAAAAATGCAAGGACCAAAACAAACACAAAATTCACCCGTTCTTCGGGCGTCTGGTCCCCCCCCTTTTACTTCCTTAAAAAAGCGCAAAACATAGTCAATTGTATCATGATTTTTTTTTTTCTTTTCTTTCTTTTTTCTTTTTTTAACCTTCGTCTGTTACTAGAAATCTGGTTCTATACCAAGATTAGAAGAACGCTTTTTCTTGCAAAGCGACATTCTCAACAGTTTCACAGAAAACGATGCGGTAAGTCGTAACACGCTGGAAAGTTTCTCACGAAATTAAGATTCAAGACGACTATCTATTTACTCTATTCTGAATGCTTTAAAGTCAAGCTAAACGAAGTCAGCAAAATAATGCTTGATAAACTTTATTTGCTGTAGGTAATGCCTAAAAACTATTTTAAAATGTAACTTTGAACATTTCATAAAAATTTAAGGCTATTTCCCTGTTCTGAAATACATACCGGTAGAAAATAAATGCTTTCTTTTCAACAGATGCATTCTAAACATCTTACCGCATTTTATATGAGCATTTTAACAAAATCAGAATATTTGTAAAGGTATTCAGTATATATATTTAGTTCAATATTACATATATATTCAGTTCAATATTTAACACTATTAAACTATTAAATTATTGTTAAGAGTATAGAGATTTTAATTATGTAAAGAAAATTTAAGAGCTGAAATTAATCCATATATGTTTAGAAACGATATAATTTCACTTTTAAGAAATTTTCAGTTGAAATATATAAATAGAAAAGAAGAAAGCAGAATATGAAAATTAATTTTTATTATGTTGATGTATTCTTTCAGCCGAATTATTAATGAATTTCCCAGCACTTTTTAACAACAGTTAAAGGTTTCTGATTCGTCTTTTCGACAACATTAGCAACCAAATAATAATAATTCATTCCTTACATGTAAAGAAATGAATCTAATTTACCTCTTTACAAAATTTTGAGCATAAGAACATTGTTCTATCAAAAAATATATTTCAAAATTCCTGATGCAATCCTTCCTTTGTAAAAACATTAGGAATTTCATTATCAATAACATGTGTGATCAAAACTCTAATTATTCCATGAAAGACCGTGTTAAGCTGACTTCATGAATATAGTCTAAAACTGTTGCTAGTACGAGAAACACTCTGCTTACATATAAGGATTAGATATATTAAAATAACTAATATGTAAGGCAATATGCTACATGATGAGTTAAAGATATAAAAAAGAAAAGAAGACTGAAAACATGATGAAAATTGTCAAGATATATTACTCAATAGAAAGCGAAAATTGGATCCAAGAAAGAGGATATTACCAGTTTTTCCCAATTCTTTACTTTAAGCATTCGAGAAACAGTGCCGCGAATGTTCAAAGACCGCGAAGTGCGTAGGATAATTACAAGTAACACAGCCATAAAGCGTATTGGAAGAGTTAAACAAAAACGGCTTAAATATAGTTAGTAATGCATCAGATAACAGTTTTCGAAATATGTACTCTCCAGATGTACCAGATTTATTAATTTTGATACCGACTTATGGTGTAGTTTTGCTCGAGGAGGAGGGAGAGTCCTGTAACTTTAGCTTATTGTGCAGCACTAAATTATATGAAATAAAAATCTAAGAAAAGTCCCGAATCGTAAAGAAAAAGTTTCACAACTTCAGTCCTGAGATATCATGAATACCAACAGACGATCCACGAGCTTCTAATGTTCCGCCATGTGTTACTAATTAGGAGTCATTCATTTTCGAACTACATTCATTTTTGCTTTTGTAGGCCTTGACTCGGTTTCATTTCGGTGATGTGGTAATGTACGATTGCATTATTTTCGTACATTCTGCTGATGTTTTCAGCTTCCTGCAAATTTTCCAAATAAACGGAAAAACTGAAAAATGGCCAGGTGGAAAGAAACTGATGAAAGTACTAAATTTACTTAATTAACATGTTGGAAAATGGGAAGAAATCTTATGCCTTTTGCTACAATTATAAAATTTTAAAATCATATCCGCGATCCATTATCATCTGATAACCACTATTTACAAGTGTGCTTACTTAATAAAACCATTTACAAAAACAATATCTTCGTCAATATTTTATTATATAATCTATTAAACACTCATAAGATTCATATATGCTGTATATGTATAAGTGTTTGCACGTGCATGTGTGTGAGTCTGCTTGCATGCATCTGTGTATAAAGATAATTTTTTTAGATGATGAAGTATGTAATGTAAGTAATGTTGCATGATGAAGCTTTCACGGATTATTTTTATCGAAGCATATTTCGTGGAACGTAATAAAGAAAATATTCCCAGATTTCACTTATCCATAGAAATGTAACTGAAGAAACACAAAAGCGGCAGATATGATATTAGTTTTACAGGTGCTTACATAAAAAAACTAAGAACAACATGATTCTGCTTTATTTCATTTCTATTGGGTGATTAATCCTTAGGCTTGCAAATTTAATATTATTGTTTGCTAAAAGGATTTAGTTTCACTTTTGCCGTTATGTAAGTACATGCGCTATTGATCCTTACATAAGAATAATTTTAAAATACCTACATAAGCTAAGAATACACTTTACATAAGAATCAGGGGATTAATTTGGAAATGCTACAGTTGAGAAAGATTTATTTTATGCATATTACGCTTTCCAGAATAAAAAGAGGGAATAATCAAAATATAAAAGGACTTAAGGAGCTATTACAAGTTACAATTAGAATTTTATCAAATATAGCCGTTATACTTTATACATACATATATATATATTACAACCTAGCTTATTAATTATATATATATATATATGTAACGTATATAGACATATATACCTCACATACATATATATTGTAATATCTTGTTATTTAACAAATAACTATATTAATTATTGAAGTGGAAACGCCATATTTGTATGATGTAACTGTTGCTCAACAACAGAAGAAGTTGTTTAAAATTAGAATTCTGAAGTTTGACCAGCTAGTACATGTATGGAAATGTTTTGCCACTAAAGAATTGTATTCAAATTATCTATCTCCGTAAACTAAAAATAAAATTTAAGTTTTACTAAGAAGATTTTTTGTTATTTTGTCAATTACTGCAAAATGCATTACAATATATATAGCTACATACATATATACCTACATATACACCACATATATATATATATATATATGCCTACATATATACCTACATACATATATACCTTTTAAGGTGTATATGTATATATACATATGTATATATGTTTATATACATATACACATTAGAAAATTAATTTAAATGCACAGTTTTAAATTTCAAGTGACATAATTAGAAAAATGTGCATCTAATCATTACGAAGCATATGCACTTTGAAAATGCTAAATCGTTGTACCTACTTATTAACTTCCTCTGAACTACAAACACACGAGATATAAAGTTAAATTAAGCATAATTTAAAAGTCTGAAGTAAAGGCAAATTAAAAAAAAAATGAAATGTACGAAGCCAAACAGCTACATGGCTAGTTAACTGAAATTAATATTTCTCCAGCCGTCAAATCAGAGCTGCTTAATTGCATCTCTAGCTGCATATTGCATTGCATAGTTCTCATGTCTTTATTAATTGTTGAAAAATAACGAACTTTGAAACCACTCACCTCTGAACTTCGTAGCGCTTGTAGTAATTAGAGTTTTGAGATATGAGCCAGCCCCTTGTAACATATTTTTAAAGTCTTTTTTCACGGCTTCTTGATATTGGCCTTCCATAGATTTAGAACAACATGTTTGGGCAGATGGGCAAAGTTCTAATTCTTCACCTAGAAAAGAAATTTTATGCTTTTAGCCCCGAAATTATGAAGTTCACCACTGTCTAAAAACTATTCCAGCAAGAGAGCATAAAAAAACAATCATTATTTACAAAAAAAAAATATTAATAAAACATTAGTAAAAAGAATTAGGAAATTTCACCTTGCACTTAAAAGATTAACCTCCCCTTTTAAATCAATACCGAAATATAATCTTCTATAATAATTTCCTAATTTCTATTATTTAAAAGGAAACGAAATTTAAAGAGCTAATAAGAAAAAAATACGTTGAATGAAAAAACGTACGTTAAAAAGCAATAGCTTTCAAAAATGCCTTTTATGAAATGTAAAAAAAATAAGTAAAGATCATTCAAAGGGACGAGAGTATTTTTTAAAGTAGCATTGCCTTCAAAAGCACGTATAACAATTTAATATTTAAAAAATAAGTTATTGAATATCTGGACTTATCAATTTTTTCCATCAAGAAACATAATGTCAGACTTACACGCGAGCACGGAATTACAAAAGTATAATAAAATTGCAACTCATGAAAAGAAATTTTATTTAAGTAAAATGTAATCTTCATAGCTTATGCGTTCAACAGAGAATCTCCGTATGACGATGGACAAAGATCTGTCACGGAAATGTTTAGATCTCCGGAACCGACGTCAGAAATCTTCATATTGATATGATGATCAATAAACATACGTTTTATAAACAATGATCATGCATTTAAGTAGAAGTTAGAAAGGTACGGTGAACTGAATTTAAATTAGATTTCACTATTATTCCAAAGCACACGATGGCTTACTTTTGTGGATGACTTTCTAAGGAAAAGTCTTTTGGTTAGTATTTAGGTTACACAACACAAGAAAACCCCAAACAGATAGGTTGTTCGCTAGAAATAGACATTGCAATCTGTCAATGGTCAATGACTTTACATGCTTAACTACTAGCCGGACTAAAAAACTAAAAAGAATTATTACTTGCCGAATATTAGTATGCTGCAAACCGTTACAATACGTTTCATCATCTGTAATTTTTATCCTTCGTTTATAATGCAAACATATTCTGTATTTAAATTACCTATAGTAGTAACATATTATTTATCTAAACTGAATTACACAAATAACATCAGTAATACATTTCAGAAAAAGGTAATAATTTCCATCAGGATGAGATTTAGTCAGTACTCTCTGCAAGTATTACGACTTTAAGTGCAATTAGATAAACTGAAATGTATAACATGCATATCAAACGCTTTGTTTTCTCATTCCCGTAGTCATTTAAAATTCTAACTGAAATAAAAACCGTTTCTATAGGCGTCAAAAAAGACAAAACAGACCTAGAAAATTATGAGACAGAAAATTAAACAAAAACTTCTAAACTGTTGTTTAAATTCTCTTAATGTCTTCCCATTTTTCGGACGATTTAATGACCTTAATTCAATTTCAAGGAAAATACACAAAAATTTAAAAATTATGAAAAATACCAGTACTTTTTAATACTAGACACATTTTAAATTATGCACTATATTGTTAATAGCGATTCTCTTGCCGCCATTGCTGACTCATAATGGGTTTTAAATACATAATTACTTAGGTCTATAGCTCTCTAGGGATATCTTCCTACAAGAAATTATTTCGACTTGCTTTATTCAAGCATATACAAAATCAGGTACTTTTGAAGAAGTTTTATAATCATTAAATCTTGTTATTTATATGCTCGAATACAATACTTAATAACTTATAACATTCAAATTTTGCAACAAATGATAAGCGAAAAGTTAATAAATAGTCGCATTCAACTTTAATTCGCGAAGAATAAATGGTGTCCTTTTTTTAGAAGCAAACTCTTCTTCGAAAACCCAATAACTGTTAAATCTGTAATCCTCAAATAAATGTACAGCAATATTAGTTATAGTTTACTCAATTATTTCAAAATATATATAAAACAGAAAAATATCATTACTTTAAATAACTAAACTTCAAACTCTATTACTAACTTGTAAACATGGCATTTTAAAGCTACGTTACCAAATGATTAAAATTACGATTTATATCAAATTATTATACCAATTTATTATAAGTTATAAGCACAACATTTAAGTGTTCTATCAGGTAACTATGGATGAGGAATACCACAGAAACCTAAGGAAAAGGATGCCTTGGTAGAGGATTTTCTATGAGAAACTAAAGCGTTTGCTTGGGAAAATCGAAAATAGTCCATACAACCAGCTGTTGCATGGAGATGCTGTTGCGAGAGCTCGCAATCGAAGTCAGGACAATTTACGATACATTACGGCAGTTATCTGGTAAGCGACAAATGTAAACTAAAACCTTCTATAAGATACTTGTCTAACGCGCGGTATCTAGTAGATAAAACGTGGCATATAGCAGAGTAAGCTTTAAACATATATTATAGTATTAATTTTATAACTAGAACTTATTTAATTATAACTTAAACTTAAGGTACATTTTTTCCAGAAAAGGAAGAAACGACATCTGAAAATATAAACTACGACTACATTGTAGCAATAAACTAGCCAATTACTGTATAACTAGAGAGGCGAAATCTTTTGATTACATACAAACAATGAGGTTGGGATACATAAAGTATGAAAACATACTGCCGTAACCAAAAATATAATGCTAGGTAATTTGTATAATGCAGTTCGTAGGATGGGCATTGCAGATAGAAATGAATTTTCATGCTGCACTTAAACTACAAATCGTAAATCACTTTGCATAGCTATATAAATAAAGATGAATGATGCTTACATTATATATTTATTTCTATCAAATGACTAGTACTATTCAAAGACAGGGTAATCTTCAAATACACAGATTAGCACTATTACGTATTTTAACCACAATCACTCCAATGATTTGATATTAATAGTTTTTTTTTCCTAGATATGGATCAGAATTTCTTACTTAATTGCTAATGCTCAAAACTTGTAATAAGGAATATAAGAAATTTTTATCCTTGATATCAAAAATTAATAATTATCATCCAGAGAAATACGTATATAAACTATATAGAACAGAAGAAAAATTGGGGGATTTTATGATAATTAGTATTTTAAGACATCTGATTTCGTAAAAACATTGATGCATTACTTGAAAAATTGCTGCATTAATGAAATGATAACTAATCAAAAAAGATTTCAAGTTATTTGTATATTCTATGTACCTTCTTTTTAAAATTATTTTCATTCATATTTGTATTTTCGCTCTGATATTTCAAAGTCTGAGTTCTACAACTTGAAATATGATTGAAGTCATCTCAGTTGCACAGCGCTTAGCCAATGTGAACATTTCGTGAAGAAATTAAATATTGGTTAAAAGCTTCAAAATATTTTATTTCGAAATTACTATAGTAAATTCCAATAAAATAAAAAAGAGCGTTATGGATTTTATTTTTAAAGACTATAAAATGAATTCTCTTAAATTAAACCTCAGATGTTAACAATGCAAACAAGGGCATTACTCTCTCAAGTTAACTGCAAAAAATATTATGATCAAATACAGCGATAAAATTAGCAAATGAAAATTGTTTTAAAGTACTTAAATGGACAAATTTATCTCTGGTTTATGTAAAATCCAACATTCTAAAATGAGGGCAAAAAAGAAATTTGCTTCGATAATCAATAATTTCCTTGCATTGCTCTCCTAAGAAGACAATAAAGACTGGAGATATATAAACGCCGTCCACCCGATTAATACCATTTAGAGAGTTTGCGAGAGAAAATTTACTACCGCTAATCGCCTCAATTGTCTGACGTCTATAGCTCATTTAAAGACGAAAAATAAGAACCCCCAAGGACAGAGACCGCGTTATGAGCACAGGGTTCCCCCAATAGACAGGCCTCCTAGGTGACTGAAGTGTTACCTTCTAGAGGCAGATGAACTGATACAAGCAAGAGCAGCTTGAAACCAGGCATTTTAATTTCAGATCTGCTCTTGCGAAATACTGTAGTCTGAGGCATAAATTAATCAAATTAGCAAAACCTTTTCCCAAGGCCAAAAGGTCTGACTGAAGCATATTATTCAACCAAAGTTTCGCGGCCTTTCCCATCAACGTCCAGAGAGGAAACTGTGACGACTGTGGAGGAATAGAAAAAGATATAAAATCGGCCAATCATTTTGTTTCATTGCCTTGAGAATATAATATAATCTAAGGTAGTTGAATCGAGATCTGATTCCTTGATCAATATTTAACAGACTCCCAACTGTTTCTTCTTTTCTTAAGGAGCATCTCACTGTTTCAGGTGGTTAAATTCATCACTGGCTTAAAGAAAACAAATATCCTATTGGCTTATATAGTTCTATTAGCCTGAAAATTAAGTGGAGACATATTATGCAACTGATACCTTAAAATGTGTCGAAAAATTTGAAAAAAATAATTAATATTTTTTAACTTCAAAGAAAATAAAAGAAGTTTTTCGAGAATAATATTTTGCTTAAATTAGGGCCTTCTTGTTTGACTTCTAAATTAATAGGATCTTCTTATCTTAATTTAAAAAGGATGTTAGTTATGGAATATTAATTTAAAGAAATTACTTACAAGAATAATTTAGGTAACCAGACTGCGAAAAAAACTGAATTGGATAACATTAAGAGATAAGAAGACATTCACTTATTTTAAACTTGCCAAAAGTCCGTTCAATTGATTACTGTCGTCTCACTTTTTTTAGATTCTCAATTTTATGTAAGCTGGCAGTACACATTCTCCATGCTATGGCGATTTATAACAACCCAATTTTGCAGCATTCATGATATGTTGACAAATCATATTAGTTTCCATTTTCAAGTAGAAATTTAATTTTAACAAAATTACCGAAGACTATACTTTCATGTTTTTCCTTTTGCTGCAGGCACTACAAAAGTTGCTCTGAAACTGTGAATCTAACATGCGATCTGTTATTCTGCATTTAACTGTGTAGAGTCATTAAGTTATTCTGAAGAAACAGACGTGAAAAACGTCCAGTGCCATCGCCGCCACTCGAA